CCCTATACCCCCCTATATCCCCCTATACACCCCAGTCCCAACCCCCCCATCCCCAAAAGTTTCTCAGCGGATTTGGGCTGTACTCTGCAAGCGCAGTACAGCTTCCAACTCAGATCTGAAAAAAATTTAGTGGATGGTTGTTTTCTGACTGGTCGGCAGACCGCCGACCGGTCGGCCCTACTGGTCGGCTGCAATACGGTCAGCGGTCGGGGTCGGGGGTCAGCAGGGATGCAACCATGCTATCCAGGGATAAGAAGAAACAAAAAAAACAACAGGGAAGCCCATTGTTGCAGTTCTGAAAGTGCATCGGACTGAAGTTGGGGCCTTAGTTGATGCCACTTGATGGAGAATTAACACAAATGTGGTGCTAAGAAATCTACACTCACAAGAGTCCCAAAGGAAAGTGAAGGAGCTCACGCAGCCCATATCAACCGTGCTAGCTGACAAAGACACTACTACTATCACTGTGAAATTGTGAATCAATGTGCGGGGTATACGAAGTGTTATTACCACATAGAAGGGGCGCAGGTGTGGCATCATCTCCTCTTCTACTTACTGGAGAAGAAAATTTGAAATTCTTTATTACTGCTTTACCCTTTGGCTTACTTTGGATACGTGCTCGCATGAAAAAGCTGATCCCCACATCAATTAGACTCACAAGGAGCTACGCTTGAAGTACAAGCGAGGGGAGATGAAGCTGAGCCGGCCAGGTTGTACCATAGGTCAGGACTACGCCCAAGCCTGTCCCTTTGCTATTTGCCTGCTACTGCCAGTGGCAAACCAAAGGAATCTCGATGAGAGTATTTCGGGTATGTGTCGCCGTGAGGACGGACGAGTTTGTAGTGAGGTACCAACTACCAAGTTTAGCTATTGCAATATTTACTGCAGAAGGAGACATCGTAGGAACTTGGTTATGGGGAGGCTTCTCAGTGGATAATGCAACCTTAGTGTGACACGTTTGCGGCCCTAAAATAACGAAGAAAGTCGGAAGAAACAAGCTCCGATACAATCCTTTCTGAACGAGTTCTAACGTGACCACAAACGTTTGTGGGCCTAATGAAGAAGAATGCCGGAAGAAAAACATGTTCCCATGCTCCATCTTCAGTACAACCCCCCTTCTGAATGAGCCCAAAATATCCGAGGGAACAGGATGGGAGTAGCGTAGAGAAACATCACACGAGTTAGATTCAAGAGCTTGCGCTTCAGTGGCAGTATAACCTCTTATGCATATTTTGAGGTTGGCCATAACTAAGTAGAGATGAATCCAGGATAGTAGCCCCACTCTCCCCCCCCCCCCCCCCCCCCCCCCCCCCCCCCTTAGTTTGAAAATTTGCTTCAAGCGCATGGTTTTGGAACTCACCTGTTGCTCCAAAATCCGTAGATGAATTCAACCACCATGAAGGAAGTATTAATCATAAGGAAGACTGTTGCAAAACATTGAGAACGCCAACAAACAGCACGGACCAACCAGTCAGTCGATCAAAGCAATCGACCAATCAATTGAGCCACCAATAGAGCAATCAATCAACCACTCAATTCGATCAAATCAATTGAACAATTTATGAATCAATTGCAGAAATAAACTGACCAACTAGGCTACCAGAATAATTTTGATGTGAACCCAAGGCAAAAGCTGTTCAATTTGTTATGCATAAGCAGCATAACATATTGTAATTTCTTTTTTTCCTTCTTCTTTTTTTTTCTTTTCTCTTTTCTTTAACAAACACAAAAGCCCCTTCTACTCTGGGGGCCATCAGTCCGGTTGCTTAACACTGACGAGCATGTTTACACAGAAGATAACGGGGGAGAAACGGACAAGAAAAAGAGGGTCCACCTACCCCTCCCTTATGGCACTAGCCACCTAAGCAAGGGGGGGGGTACTTCTGACCACCCCACCCACAAACGGTTTCCCCTACTCGGTGGATTATCCTACTGGTCGGGAAGTTCACTAGCAGCACCCAGGCAAGCAGTACGGGAATCCCGTGGGGAGCGCAGTGCAGAGGGGGCGCGTTCAGGGCAGTCCCTGAGGTTGCATCAACCAGCCTCCAACTATATGGTTCTCAACCTGAATCATGGCCCCAAAAGGGCCAAAACCTATTAGCGTCAGATCCAACTTCATATCCTCATGTCCCTTCAGCCTGTCACTAATCTCTCTTACCTCAGTAAATGCTCTTTAGGTATATCCTCCCTATCCCATATATGCTATCGCACCATAACTTCGTCTTTTTTTTGTAGTTTTTTTCTTCAAAAAAATTAACCATTTGGCAGGGAACTTTCCTGACCGTTGCCCAGATGGCCCGCCTGGGGAACCATGCTGACCCAGGCGGCCCAATCTGTAGCCCAGCTCCCCAATCAATTGCAATAAGACCAAACCAACCATCAACCAACCCGCGTTCCCACCTTTCAAACAACCACTTCACTAGTCAGATGACACAGGCCACAGGTCAGTCCATCTAAAGCAAGGAAAAAGAAGAACCGTGCCCGGTAAGTACTCCACGATCATCACTGCAAATAACTAAGGAAAGAAAAAGCACGACCAACACCAGAAGCAACAGAGATGTGGGAGAGCATTCCAATCCTGTAAAATAAAATGATACTAAAATCCTTCTCAGGTCCAACTTGATGAGCAAATTCACCCATTAGAACTTACAATGTCCGTGTTCTGATGAAACTGACAAATATGAAAACCAGAAAATAAAATCCTATGGGCACCCATCAGATAGATGTAAAAGGTACTAGAAGCTTATGGCCCTTACTCCATATGCTCCATATGCTTTTTCCCATATCTTTAGGCATTTCTATCGATGTTAGTGTGACCAACCCTGCCCAACCATACCTGTTTAAAAACACTGGACCCCTTGTGACTGACACGATCCAATGATAAACATTTTGCACATGTGAACTGTGCAAGACATCAGTGAACCCACTCCACAATCTCCAAAATCCAAGCCTTCCTTGATGCAGGTCTCCTT